GATTTTGGCATTTGATTGATAAATTTAAAAGATAAATTGGGGAGTTTTGTCTAAATCTTTTTAAAGTGAATATTTGAGATTGGAGCATCGATTCGGAGTCGGATTTGAATAAAATTAGTATGGTTGGACTCGTATTCGAATGGGTTATCGGATTTTGTGAGTTTTTTTGGATTTTAAGGTGCGGGTCCGGATTGACCTTTTGGTTGACTTTGAGTATTTAATTAAAGATTCGACTTTTATTATTTGAGTTTGCTTTCTGTGGCATTATTTGATGATTTTGGGTTGCGTTCTAGTTTCGAGCCGTTTGGAGGTCGATTTGTGTGGGATGGCGCTTTTAGTGTATCAATTTGGCTTTTTTGAGGCAAGTGTCTTGCCTAACTTTGTTGAGAAAATTTTTTCTACTAAATGATATTGTTTGCTACATGTGGGGGTGATGCATATATTAGATGACGAACATATATGCATGTGTCAAGGTTTTCCATGCTCGGGAGGGGGAAATTATATACTTTCTTTGTGCTTTGATAAACCTGGTGATTCTTTGGCTTATGTTTTACTTAATTCTATAACTAATAAACTCAATTAACAGTGTTAGGAATCATATTAGAACATATGACATCTTAAAAAGGATTTAATGTGTTATTTTCGGACTGTTTACATACTTAATTGACTGTAGCATCAGGAATAACCATTTATACCTGTTATTGTCTTGCTACCTGAGTTCTTTATCTATAATACGTGTGAGGATTGGGGCCTTAGGGCTATGTTTGGAACGAGGGTTATTTCGTGTGGTTGATATGATACTGGCACGATGACTATTTTCATGCGGTTTGAAATGAAATTGGTTTGTTAGTTACTACCATGCGAAAGGAAAGGAAGTTGGATTTATGTTATGATTACTCATTCATTAAATATTTACATACCCTTTATTTTGGTTTATATTAATATTGGTTGTTTTGTATGATACTTTCCGTTTGAGTTCCTTACGTAGTTACCTCTATGATTTTTCTTTGGCTTGTTACAGTTATAGGTATGTCTTTACCTTGTTTGTTAATGTTATACCTACGCTTTTGCTTGATTTAGTTCTGTTACATGACCCCTTCGAATTCATGCCTCTACTTTTTATTAGCTCATACATGTTGCATGCCTCTATTTGTCACGTGATTTACTTGTTAGATGTCATAACTTACTACATGTCTTCACTCACTACATGCCTTCACTTACTAAATGCCTTCACCTACCATAAGCTTTTACTTACCATATGCTTTTACTTGGTAAATGCTTTCACTTGATACATGCTTCTACTTGTTACATGATTTCATATACATTGAATGACTTCATTTGATCATTGTTCTTACTTGATAAACATCTTTACCTGTTTCATGTTCTACTTTCATTTGCTTAACCGGATTGGGTGACTTTTAGATTGGCTGCGTGTTTACGTCTTGTGGAAAGCCTTGCCATTATATGTGGGAGACTAGCTCCATAGTGTCGTGTTTCTCTATCTTATTTCGTTTAGTTTATACTCCTAGTTGCATGCCGCATGTTAGTTTTCTTGTTATTACATTGTAAATTTCCGTGTTTGATTGTTGTAGAAAAGTTACATATAAATTTATTGTATATGTGGAATCGGGTTACATACCGCAACAGAAAATATTGTTATTATTGTATAGGATCGGGTTGCACGCAACAATGGATATTGGTATTACTGTTTGATAGGGTTGCACGCTGCAATGGTATTTGTATATATATTTGTGGATCGGTTTGTGCGCCGCAACGAAAAAGACATATTTTATATATATATATATATATATATATATATATATATATATATAGAGAGAGAGAGAGAGAGAGAGAGAGAGAGAGAGAGTGTGTGTGTATGTGTGTGTGTGTGTCAAGTTGCACACCGCAATGGAGAAGACACATTTTGGTTATTCTTGTTGATTATTTTCTGTTATCATATTGTGTTGTGAGACAGAGACGTGACGATGTTCTGGGACCCTCTATTATTTGTATTTTTGTTTCATTTACTACGTGATTATTCGTATCTCTTCCTCATATTGCTCTTTCTGCTTATCATCTGCACATATATTGTGTGAGTATCTTTTAACTTAAACCTACTTTCTACTTCACCGAGGTTAGTAAAGATACTTATTAAGTACATAGGATCGGTTGTACTCATGCTATACTTCTGCACCTTGTGTGCATATTTTGGATCTGCGTAGCTGTGGAAGACGAAGCCTGGCATTGAAGATGTTCCGTTGTTCCAGATTCAAGCTACCTCTTGTTCATGGTAGTCGAGGACTTAATTTCTATTTATGTATACTTCAAACATATGTTGTATCATTTTCATATTAGCTTGTAGATCTAAGTCTTAGAATTTATGTCTTCTACTACCACTTGAAAAGTTGTATAAAATTTAGCTATTTCATTTGTTGGCTTCATATTAATTTCAGTAGATTTGTGTTGACTATATTTGGCTTACCTAGCAGGTCGAGTTAGGTGTCATCACGACTAGGCGGATTTTGGGTCGTGAAACTCATCCTAGGAATGTTTCAAAATATCTCGAGGGGTGTTTTGTAGAATACCCACTTTGCAAAATTTTACATTTTTTCTCTTTCTCTCGCATATTTTAAACCACTAGGAAAAAGAAAAAGAAGATGATGAAAATTAGTTGAAGAGTAAGAAGAAGAAGAAGAAGAATGTAGATCTAAGTCTTAGAATTTATGTCTTCTACTACCACTTGAAAAGTTGTATAAAATTTAGCTATTTTATTTGTTGGCTTCATATTAATTTCAGTAGATTTGTGTTGACTATATTTGGCTTATCTAGCAGGTCGGGTTAGGTGTCATCACGACTAGGCGAATTTTGGGTAGTGATACTCATCCTAGGAATGTTTTAAAATATCTCGAGGGGTGTTTTGTAGAATACCCACTTTGCAAAATTTTATATTTTTTCTCTTTCTCTCGCATATTTTAAACCACTAGGAAAAAGAAAAAGAAGATGATGAAAATTAGTTGAAGAGGAAGAAGAAGAAGAAGAAGAAGAAGAAGAAGAAGAGGAAGAAGAAGAGGAAGAGGAAGAGGAAGAAGAAGATGATGATGATGATGATGAAGACGATGACATAGATGAAGTAGCAGCAACGAAAGTTGAAGAGAAAGAAAAAAATAAGGAAGAAGAATAAGAGAATGAGAAAGAGAAAGATGAAAGGAAGGAGAAGAAGAAAGGAGAGGGAAATGAAAATTTAAAATAATTTGAATGGGTGTGAGTCTTTTTAAATTTTTGAAAATTTTAATATTTACTCACAACTTTTCATATTTTTAATATGACCTCCACCCCCCTTTAATCGCACTTCTTTTGTTAACCAAAATATGTGTCCCAAATTCTTATACAAAACTTCAAAAGTCTTTTTTAACTCATCAAACTTTTGAGACACTTGAAAACTTATATCAATTTTTAAGACAAAAATGTTAAGAATGGAGTAGGAGGGACACTTTTATGATTAGTATTAATGACATAATTTTTAAAAATCCCAAAGTTTTTTTTATTTACATAAAGTCCCCCTTACTCCTCCTCGCACTCCTCCCCTCCTCCTCCTCCCGCCACTCCTCCACCTCCCATTGTTCCTCCATCTTGCAACGCTCCTCTCTATCCTCCCGCCATTTCTTATCCTCAAACATTTAGGGAGATATTTTAAACATCTAGTGAGATGTTTCACCAAATTTTATCATTGTTTTCTTTTTCTCTCACATTTCAAACCACTAGAAAAAAGGAAAAAGCAGAAGAAATATCCCGAGAGATGTTTCAAATATCTCTCGGATATTTTGCAGAATACTCATCCTAGGGATATTTCAAAATATTTTGAAGGGTGTTTTGCAGAATACTCACTTTGTAAAATTTTACATTTTTTCTTTTTCTCTCGCATATTTTAAACTACTAGGGAAGAAGAAGAAGAAGAAGAAGAAGAAGAAGAAGCAGCGACAGCGAAAGTTGAAGAGAAAGAAGAAAAAAAAGGAAGAAGAATAAGAGAATGAGGAAGAGAAAGAAGAAAGAAGAAAGAAGGAGAAGAAGAAAAAGTAGAGAGGGGAAAGAAGAGGAAAATAAAAATTTAAAATAATTTGAACGAGTATGGGTCTTTTTAAATTTTTGAAAGTTTTAATATTACCCACAACTTATCCTATTTTTAATCTGCCCCCCACTCCCTTTAATCACCCTTATTTTGTTAACCAAAAAATGTGTCCAAATTCTTCTACAAGATTTTAAAACTTTGTTTTAACTCATCAAATTTTTGAGACACTAGAAAACTTATATCAATTTTTAAGACATTAGTGTTAAGAATTGGGTAGAAGGGACACTTTTATGATTAGTACAAATGATATAATTTTCAAAAATCTCAAACTTTTCTTATTTACATAAAGTCCCCCTCCTCCTCCACCCCCTATTCGTCCTCCCACTCCCCTCCTCCTCCTCCTCCTCCTCCTCCTCCCACCACTCCTCCTACTCCCCTTGTTCCTCCATCTCGCAACACTCCTCTCTGTCCTCCCGCCACTCCTTATCCTCAAACATTTAGGGAGATGTTTTAAACATCTAGGGAGAAGACTAAAATGAAAATTTAAAATAATTTAAATGGGTGTGGGGTCTTTTTAAATTTTTAAAAGTTTTAATAGTTACCCACAACTTGAAGTTTTAATAGTTACCCACAACTTTTCCTATTTTTAATCTGACCCCCACCCCTTTAATCACCCTTCTTTTGTTAACAAAAAAAAAGTATCCCAAATTCTTATACAAGACTTCAAAATTCTTTTTTAACTCATTCTTCCAAATAAGTATGTCTTAGATCATAGATATAACCACAAGTCCAAGAACTTCCCATGCAGTTATCTTATAGTAAAACCTTTGATCACTATCACAACAAAAGCTTCCTATGCATTAGATTCAAAGTAAACCAAAATAAATATGCGAATGTTGGTCTGGAAGTGGTGCTCGATTGTGGCGGAACAAACTATTTACATTTTCTTTCTTGCAAACACGATCAATAAATAATGCACAGGCTACTTCCATTTGAATGAAGAATTATCAGCAAAATTGACAAAAAATAATTACAAAGAATAAATTGAATGATCCTAGCTACTTTTAAGTACAAGTGGAAATGCAAAAAAGGCCACATTGATGTAGAGCCATGTAGCAGATCATCTCTGAAGGCATAGCTTTTCTCAGGTCTCTGCTCCGCTCAAGTTAGCCTATCAAGCAACAAGTCAATCTCTTCCGCGTTCCTATCTACCATGCCCCGGTTCTATAACGAAAGAATATTTTAGCCCATGTTCTAAGATTCCTAAGCAGTTATTGGACTGAGACGGGTTTAAATGGAGCGACATAGACAATACAGATTCATATAGCCGACTTCAACTTGCTTGAGATTGAGACATGGCTGTTGTTGTTGTAGTTGTATTCAGATCCCTAAGCAAATCATAACATGAAACAAATAAATAAATAAGGTACTCTAGGTAGCGGATATATATTAACCTCAACATCCTAGAAGGTCTCCTATTGCTAGGCAAAATAAAAGAAAGCAAAAGGGAAATAAATAAAAAGAGCTAGGTACCTTGTACCTGTTGGGAAAAATGTACTCAACAGAGGCGGCTCAAACATATGTGTGACCTAAAGCTAAAGTTTAATGTGAGGCCTAAATGTTTTTTTAAAAATTGTTAATAATTTTTTTATAATCGATTTCCTCTAATAATTCCTTTTCAATTGATAATATAGCCAACAAATTTAATCTATCTTGAGACATTGTTAATCTTAGGTAAGATTTTATCAATTATAATCTTGAAAACTTCTTTGAGACATTGTTAATCTTAGGTAAGATTTTATCAATTATAATCTTGAAAACTTGTTTTCTTTGAGACGACTGTTATAAAAAAACTCTACTTTTATACGAAAAGTACTAAGTATTTTTTTTAAATACCTATAAATCTATTATTTCTAAAAAATGGGAGGCAAAAGCCTTACTTGGAACAACATTAGAGCCGGCCCTGGTACTCAAGGAGTGTCATCATCCGAACTAGAATCATCAATTCGCCTGTCTGAGATAGCCGGAAAGAGCTTCTGACGCTGATCAGGTCGTGGTGAATAGGTTGATTGATCAGGTCGCGGTGAAAGAGTGGATTCTGAAGTCGTAACGGCTACATGTTCTTTCTTTGGTGTGCTATTTAGCTTTCTTGGAGCATTTTTCACCTCTCTGCATACCTTATCCAATATAACCAGAAAATCCCTTACAATTACAAACAATCGCAAACCTTCATCCTTCTTAGCATTTCCGTGGAAATAATCACCCGTACTCTTAACAAGAGCCATAATTCGCTTTTCTTCCTCAAGCAATGACATGACTTCACCTTCAGCATTCTGCACAAAGTTCTTCATAGTCTGGTGAAACCCATCTTCATCATCTATGTTCTTCATCTCTGAATTTAGGAAATCACGAGCTTTTATAAGTGCATGGCCAAGTTTGGACACTGTGCCTGTCAAGTTATCTGCATCTAGAATTGCAGCTCTTTTCACATTTTCAAGATCACTACTCAAACCGGAGATAACCTGTAAACCAGTACTCCGATAGTAATCTTCTGAATCCTGAGGTAAATCCTCGAGTAGATCATCGGACTTGATGCTAGACATACTCCGTTGATCCCTGGCAGCACGAGCAGCTCGTATACCTTCTGAGCGGATTATCTCCTGAACAACAAAATGCAGCAATGTAGTTTTCCCATCTATTCCTTTTACATCCGATAATTTCAGAAGCGTGTCAAGTTTAAATGCTTGTGCACCACCACGAAATGTTCCATCATTCATACGATTGCCTGTTTTCAAAACAGCCTCAAGGAGCTTGAGAAACAGCCTGCTATTCCGGAGTTCTGTGCAAGCAGCCTGGACCACAAAAGAACATGCATCAAACACCAATGTTAAAGGAATTTTAAAGAACTGAACAGAAGTATACAAACATAAGTCTTGAGCAGTAGTGTTTCAGAAAATCCTTAATGCATAAATTGTGCATCCAGCAGATGCAGACCATATTGTTAACATATGTAAGGAAGAAACCGGTTGCCCTGCAAGTGAACAATGTATATTCTCAAATTGGAAAATTTAGCTCTATGTTTCATATAGTAAGAACTATGGCATCGGACTTTCATCAGCTATAAAGAATAAGCATCTAACCATATATCACTAGCTCAAAATGAAGTGTGTCTTTTGATATCAAAAATTGAGTCACACTTGCATACAGCAAACGAGTTAACCTTCTGAATAGAAGCTTGACTAAAAGTAAGGGCGGACCATATTTTCAGTAACTGTTAAGTGAAGTTCCAAAATACTCCTGCTATTTTTCCATCATGAAAGTCAAAATAAAATATTTGATATTCCAAGCTTCATGATAAATTTGCTTTAATTTCAACATAGGGAATGGAAAAATAATCAGGTAACAACTACAATAAAGCAGAGTAAAATGCAGGGCAACACCTGTTATATAGTAAGCCTTGTGCAGATGCACAATTCACAAACCCATTCTTCTTACTAGTATCAGCATCTTATATGGTAACTATGGGAGCTTTCCCAGGTGGATTTCCATTTATTTTTCAACCAATATGGTTATTGATCATTTTTAGGAAACAAGGTCGGGTATGGTTATCTTTTCTACTTCTAAAGGTTACTTTGGCTTTTGGCTGGTAACATATAACAGGGGAACACAATGAACTTCATAGGTGGATTTAACAGCAAACAGTTAGAGACATAGTGGAAGAAGTGTCCATATAACACATTGGTTCTTCGGACAAGTCCACTTAGATTAATGTTGGAAGCACGAGTTCTAGAGAATTTCAGAGTATTTCCTCCAATTTGAAAACCGCAAACAAGTTACAATTTTCACTCTTTACTACCCAAAAGTGGATAGTAATCAAGAAAACAATATCTCACCTCCAAAGTGGAAAATGATTCTTTAATAATTGATGCCTCATCCGGAAGAGTGCACATGAAAAGCAACGTTTCTAGCCTCTTGAATGCAAATGGAACCTCAACCAATGCTTTCAGGAACCGCTCTGCCTGCCCAAGCCGAGAAAGATCCCCGTTATAGAGCCTCAGCTTCAATTCTTCCTCTGCCGTTGGTGCCATCTTAAGCAAAGTTTGTATGAGTTCAGAAGGAAGCTCATTTCCTGAGTAAATTTAAACCACTAATCACGCTTAGGTAGCTGCAAACTCTTAACAACAAACGACATTCCACTTTTAAGAAATATCACCCTAATTAACATACAAGCACATCAATGCTTTACCAATTGATAGCAAATAGCAACCGTATGTTGACAGTATAATCATTGTGATTGTGCTACCCTAAGCGAAACTGCTACTTCATATTTTTATTCTGACATCAGGTTTAGAATATGTAACCATTGCAAGGTAAGGCTCTCGGCAAAGCCTCAAAAGTGAATGTGATTTTGCAGATCAGTAGTAAAGCTGCTCTTAAAGTACATGTACATGCAGAGAAAGGTTAAAGGGTGCCGCAAGGACAACTATTCACACGAACAAAAACCAGTCATCTAACTAGACAAAATGCAGAAAGGCTAGATATCTTTTCCTTGAATGCATTTCATGATTTTACTCTGGAAGGGAGTTTCCAGAAGTACTAGATTCCGTAGACTAAAGGGGAAAAGGCAATGTCACACACTCACACTTCTAGCTGAACTAAGAAAGCAAAGAGCACTTATTTGAAAAATATAAAAAAGAAAATTGACCAACATCGATCAATACTAGAACTCCTTCCTTCCCAAGTTACTTACCTACTTTTTGGGAAGTTTCCTCCTCAATGACTCGAATTTCAAAATCTAACACTAGTTTACATAGTTCTTACTCTAAATGAGAAACACTGTTTCAACAATTTCAGTTTCACATTTGAGTACACTTTCGCATCAATCATTAATGTGATGTTCCATTTAAAAAAATATCAATTATATCTCTGAAATAGTGAATTAAGGCGTTTTAGTTCGAGAGGCAGTATAACAAAGCAAGCTCATGTGATAAGTAAGCATTACATGACTGTAATTAGGCATTTGGAAACACAATTCCCGGAACATTTTGACAACTAACAATGGAATACAAAAGCAAATAAACCTTTATGGATCAAGAATGAAGCAGAGGTTGATAGCGTGATTTACCTCAAATAGGTACAGAGAGAGCGGTCTATATACCTGGTCGGGTCAACACACGCTGCTGATAGCTTAGATCGGCCCATGGGTTTTAAGGCATGCAAATAGTTCACCAAAGAAGCATGACATACAACTAGAATTAAATCTTTGAGGACCTTTAAAAATGTTCAATCATTGGCATGAAGGAGATGGAAAATCGACAATAAGTTAAGCACAATGCTTTCGTTGAATTACTATACAACCAGTAAAAAAAAAAAAGAAGGCCAAATACATAGACAACCACCTAAACTTGGCACCAATTTCCACTTAAACACCTCAACTGAGACTTGTTCCTATTAGACACTTTAACTTAAGTCAATCTATACCCATTAAACACTTTGTGATTAACCCGTACACAAAATACATTGCGTGAAATTCACACGCTCTTACATGATAGAATAAGGAATAAAAAATGCCAAGTGTCTTTTCAGTTAAAAAACGATTTTGAGCAAATGAAACAAATAAAACAGCCGTCGCCCCCCCCTCACTATTTCCGGCAAATTTCAGAGTTATCTTGCTCTGAAACAAAACAAGTGCTGAAAAATTCAGGGCTACGGCAAATGCTTTTACGGTCGGTGTTTGATGGCGGAGAGTTGAAGAAGGTGGTGTTGGTGAGGCAACGATGGAACTGAAACAAAGCATGTCACAGAGGAGTTTGACGGTGTTGGAGAAATAACGGCGATAACAATTAGAAATTTATGTGAGGTGTCCAATTTCCCTAGCCGCCTGAATTTTCAAAGTGAGTCATCAAATTTAATGAGAAGAAGGGTTTGATAAACACTGGAAGACGACAACGACCGAGGAATATCATAATTGGAATTGCCGTCGGCAGTTGCAGTGGTGGCGGTGGGGTTGGTGTAGCTCTCTATTCCAAAGTCCATCATATTGCACAAAGAGTAAATTATTGGGAAATAGGCGCCTATACGTTTTTCTTTTTTTGTAATTATATGAGGTCCTCAAAGATCTGTAGAGAGAGTTAAACAGAAAGAGAGGAATTTGTATTTTGTAGTGGAAAATTTAGGGAGACAGAGACATAAGGTTGAGAGAAAGGGACCATGGCACCTGTGCGCTGGAGTAAGATTGAAGGGGACAAAAAAGGTTCATGGTTGTTTATGGAGAAATTGGGGAAGGTTGAGAGATCGGTGGAGGAGAGAGAAGAAAAAGAGAGGAAAAAACACTAAAAAAGCAAAAATTCTGGTTGTTCACGCTCGAATATGAAGTGCGGTACACGCATTGTGCCACGTAAGCTGAATGTGTCTAATAGGTTAGTTTGAAGATAGATTAAGTGCCTAATAGGAACAAGTCTCAGTTTAAGTGTTTAAGTGGAAATTGGTGTCAAGTTTAGGTGGTTGTCTATGTATTTGGCCAAAAAAGAAAGATTGGCCCAAAAATCTTGAAACACTTGAGAGGGGAATGCGCAGACGAATCTTGCGCACTCCTCTTCCTCCACTCTTTTAATTTTGTTGTTTTAATCTTTCATAGATTCTTCTCTTCAGTTAAACGCATGCTGAAGCAATTACATGCAAACATTATTTATCTGTTAATGATCTCAAATGATCATAGAAGCCTCTAGATAATCATTCAGTTCTCTGAGTCAGGGAAACATTCAGTAGTCAATAAGGTACAACATGGGTTTTTATCCAATATAGTGCCAAAGGGGACATACTTTTAAGCAGTTCTTTGATTTTTACATATTGAGGGAGTGAAAGAAGGAACAGATGATCACCTTCTTTCAGTGCATCACAAACTTCTTCAGTTGTCACGTTTAAGGCTTTAAGAAGAATAGATAAATTCTGTGCTTTCTTCTGATCAATAATTTGAATATATAGGTTGGAAGCATCTTGGGAGGATTCTTTCTTTGACCCATTCTTCTTTTTATCAGCAGAGGCATATCCAAATAGACTCTCTATTTGCTCTTCATCGAACCTGTTAAAGGATATTCACTGTCTATTATTAAAACAATTCAAAGCTGCATCAAGCAAGAAAAGAATAGACTTACTGGAAAGATCCTGCCTTGACTTGATCCCAAACCATTGATTGGTCAGTGTTGGCTTGAACCTTATCCCAAAAGAAAGGCTTAAGCTTAGTTTTGGAAGCATCGGTATCTTCTGCGTCAGTTGCGAATGCATTTGGTCCAGCAGGGGAACGTCGAGGTGGCTTCAAGCCCGTGGAAGGTGGCCGAGGTGGACCACTGCCTGGAGGTGGTGGTCGAGGACCAGGCTTTATAGGTGGTGGAGGAGGAGGTCCAGGTGCACAGGGACGTGGGCCAATAGGCTTAACTGGTGGTGGAGGTGGTGCAGGAGTTGATGGCTTTGCTGGAGGCGGAGGTGGGGGTGGGGCTGAGGCTGCCGTAGCAGGAGCTTCGGAAGTAATCATCCTACCAGGGGGAGGTTTCAACGGAGGCATTCCAGCGGGGGCCGTCCTTCCAATCTCAATCTTAGAATCATCATGGGGATTCTTATTGACTGAATGATTACTGAATGAAGCTCCTAAAGCAGATGACTTATGTGATGAATAGTCGCTCGAGCTTAAACTAAGAAGAGGCCTCTCATCATTCAACCCCTTTTTCGATCTCCCACGACACTTACAACAACAGCATATACACAGGATTGCAATAAGAACAGATGCGGCAGCAGCAGCCGCAATAATAGGAACCCCAGGAGTGCTTGTTTTCTTACTGCCTTTACCTGCAGATTTCTTTTTTGAGTTTTTGTCATCTTTTGATTTAGATGACTTTGAATTAGGAGGAGCAGGTGGTGGATTAGGGGCTGCTTTCAGTTTTCGCCGTTTAGGAGCTCGGTGCCAGGAAAGGAGACACTCCACACACTTGGTATACCAATTTGGCGAGCCCTTCTCCTCTCCGCATATAAGAAACAGGAGATTTTTTTCCCTCAAACAACCTAGAAGAGCTTGCTTAACCAGCGGATGCATGACATTGACATGCTTATGTTTTTCTGACCTACTGTCAAGAAGGACTTCGTCTTTCCCACTTGAACCTTCCTTTGCAACATAATACTCAAGATCTACAACAGCTTCATTAGCACGTATTAACTCTATCCTACAGTTCAACCACAATAGCTCTACCTGCACCAGGAGATTTGATCAAGCTTTCTGATGAATGCTCATTCTCAAACGTGTATAGATCAAATAATTATTAGTAACATCTACCAAAAATTAATTTCAGGAGAGTCATAGGTGAGAGTTATGGATGCTAATCCAGGTCCAAGTGAGTTGGAACAACAGGAATGGTTTATTTGCGCTTGATTATGATAGATAAACCTAGACCCATATAAAGGAAAATTGGCAGCAGGAAAGCAATAAAGAGCCATTGAAGGAAGCAAAGACATGAAAGATCAAAATTGGAAAGGCTAGAGTGATATAAGGTAAAGTTGTCTCCGTGTAAACTAAAAGTCACGGGTTCGAGCCGTGAAAGCAGCCACTAGGCTTACATTAGGGTAGGCTATCTACATCACACCCCTTGAGGTGCGGCCCTTCCCCAGACCCTTCGTAAATGCGGGATGCTTTGTGCACCAGACTGCCCTTTTAGAGTGATATAAAACTATGAATATCAAGCATAGGCCGTCCTAGTATCAGAGAAGAGCAAATGCTCTCATTAATCGATACGAACTGCATAGCATGAAAATCATTCGACAACATAAGAAATTGAACATCAAGAACTCCTACTCCTACAAGGGATCAAGTAATGCTTAATTTCTCCTTAATGCTGGTCTAGAAGAGCTATCCTATCCGAAGAAAAATAAAAGGCCAATAAAGTAAATTTCTTAAAAGGAACATTTGATTGCATATGAGAGTGACTGAAGCTCAAAAGAAAATATAAGAAAGTTCAGTACCATGTCTCTGTTAATCTCCACAGAGCTAATGAGATTGGCAAGTAAATAATCTTCTGAGTCCTTGTTGCTTCCAGGATTTGCAGCTACCAAAGTGAAAAGCAGAAAGAATACTACAAATAAATGAACTACTCCTCTCACACCCATTTGCCCTTGAATCAGCATCAAAGAAGTAGAAAATGCTTTTCATGAATAATTTCAGATAAACCTCAGGTCAATTTCCCGAGGCCACAAAAAGGTCAACTTTTTGCTGAATTTACCTTTACCAACTCTTAACAGGCTTCAAAAGAAATAATATTTCCACTTCCAAATGTCTTAAACACAATTTTTTTACAAGAATCTTTGTGACCCCACCTCCAATTTTCATGCAAATACTTAATACAGTGGCATCAAACACAACACTCCATAAATCCAAAAAAATAAAATTAAAAATAAAATCAATAACCTTTCTTTGGAAATGATCAAATCAAAAAACTCGTCAATTCTCCATACACACCTCCCAAAACCAAACAAGAATAATCACATTACAATGTAACATGTCATTGAAAGCCTAGGCCCCGCACCCAAAAAGAAAAAAGAAATATAAATTCTTTCACTTGGGGTTTTGTATATGAAACCAGATCAAGCAAAAGGCTAAATACAATTAACTTACATGCAATGGGTGCGGGTCAGGGAGGGGCATGAAGTTGACCCGGAAAAATCTTTGGGTCGAAAAAGTGGATTTTTGTTCTTCAGGAGATGCTGTAACAAAATTTACCAATCGTTTTGCATTTTTCTTGCTGTGTGTAATTCTACATATTTTTGTTCAATCCATTTTTCCTTTGAATTTCCCTTACAATAGAATGCGACAATGACGCTGAAGAGATCCATGTATGGCCTGTGATTCATTTTATTTCATATGTTATACTAGTGAATATTATGAAAAATTCCATGCACCTTATTTTATTTATTTGGTTAAATAGGGTCAAATTTTAAGATGATATATTTCGTGTGTAGTATATAATATTTTATGTGATATATATAAATTCATTTCAATATATTTTATATGTATATTTAAATGTTTACCCTTGACGCTTGATATCTCACTTTTACCACATATCATTAAAGAACAACATTATTAATTTCTTGCGTTACTCCACTTCCGAAAGTGGCTTTTTCAGTATTCAAAAGGAGTACTGGATTCCAACCTGCTATGGCCATGAATTTTCCAATATGAATCTGAACGATACCATCTGCTTTTTGGACTAACTAAGTGGATATGCAAATGTCATTCAGTTAAGCTTATTTAATTCCAGAAATGAAGAAATATTAGAGAAAGTCGAAAGAAAATATGTTGGTGCAAGTGTTGGTCATGACAATACACGTGCTAATCCACTTTCGAGTATTCTGTTCACACTTGCTTCATCGCTACATATGGCTTACATTTTATTTTTAATTTTCATTGTTTTGCAATGTTTACAAGAGTTAGACTACTACGCCTTTACTATATAAAAAATATTTACACAATCAAATTACTTATAAAATAATTATAAATTAGTTTCTATGATATTATAATCATTAACATAATCTGATAAACTAATTTGCTATCATCAATTCAACTACATTAATAATGTATATATATGTAATGTTAGTTTAAAGAATTCCATTGCGCAATGTTAATATAAAGACATATTACATGCACGGGCAATGTAAAGATTTCTTACAAAATGGACTTCCCTTTCGTAGTAAGGTCCCGGGTTAATACCAGAAATTGAAAAGGACCAGTCAAACCAAGAATTACCAGAACATTTAAGTACTCTTATAAGACAAACAGTTGGCTATTTTATTAGGCCACGTCGTCTCAATTCAACGACTGCCGCTGATTTACTGTAGTGTTGCACAAGTAATTTTCACATTTTTCTTGATAAGAAATATATTCCCTTATCTTTACAGCACATATTTCCATATATTCCACGAGAATTTGTTCTCTGCCTAGCTATAGGCACCTCCTAATTATAGACTAATAGTATAAGGAGAATTGAAGTCTCAAATTCTCTGTCCAGCATTATTAAAAGAACACAAATTTCTTTTCATTTTCATCCTTGAAGTTCAATGACCAGTTACAAACAGATTGAAGTTCAATTTGAAGAACCAAACCCACAGAAATGGTGTGTTCCACTAAAAGAAGATGTTTTTGTAACTTTCATGAACAAGGGGAATTCGACAACTCACAAGGCCTTGTGTGAAGGTTCGCTGTTTAGTCCACTACTGTTTGGAAAATTCTTTGATCCTTCAGATGCATTTCCACTGTGGGAATTTGACTCAGATGTGTTGTTGTCCAATGCCCGCAGCTCCAATCAGTGCACAGTTGACTGGTCTCAAACAGAGACAGATTATCTATTGAGAGCAGAAATACCAGGTCAGTGCTTCCAATAAATATTATTTACTTTCAATTTCAACATTCATAATGAGTTTGAGTTTATGTATGTATATATTTTAATTTTTATATATGCATATATGGTTCAACCTGAAAATAATAATAGAGCCATCCTAAATCAGCAATGAGGTCTATCTTATTTGAATTTTATGGTCCGTCAAAAAAACTGCAACGATTATGTAAAATTATACGGAATATATAAAAGATTATATTATGTATATACGTCAAAAATTAAACCTTGAACACTCTTTGTAAAATTTCTGGCTCCGCAGGTCCACAAAACATTAGCCTGTATATGGAGTTGTAGGTATATAATTCCTCTAACTCATAGTTTGTTTTACTTATTGGCTGAGACAAAGAAACCTTGTCCTCAATCAGATGACTTGGGAATAAGGATTATTTCAGCGAAATTTCAAATATTGAAGTTTAATACTTGCATATTTATGGCTTGCAATGTGAATTAACACTGTTGATATCTGAAACAGGAGTTGGTAAAGGTAGCATTCGTGTTTGTGTTGAGGATGGGAAAGTCTTAGTGGTCAGTGGCCAGTTGAAAGAGGCCGGGACGACGGACTGGAGAGCAGGAAATTGGTGGGAATACGGCTGTGTCCGGAGGATTGAACTGCCTGAAAACGCAGAGTGGAGGAAAACAGAGGCATTCTTGAGTGGCGATCACAAATTCTTAGAAGTTAAGATTCCAAAGACCCCTCCAATTCCAAATGATGATGTACCTTAAGGGAGCATTTAACGGGGCAAAATAAAGATTCTGAGCTTGCCTAATACAGACATCGATGTATAAAAATGCAATCTTTTATATAACAGATTATTCACGTTAGCATATGGCCTGGGGACATGCTTCACATGTTACTAAACAGGTTTAGTCTGTCAACTTTAGAGTAAACTGGCAAAACAAGTACAGTTCCAACATATAATATTCGGTCTTTCACCCATCTGCTTTTTTCTTCTTGATAGAATATATCATATATTCGAGCTTCAACTTTGCGGTTGTGAGATTTTACATATCACCTAAGAAATTCAATTTGCACCAAAGGATGAAAAGAACAAGAGACATATTGCTCCCGATGGAATTCTAGTGGGCTTTGCAAGTGCCAAATTCATATTAATGGTTGAGATCATGCATTAAACATATTGTATAATCATTTCATTAATTCTTTCTTAACCACCACCACACACTAGCAAGCGAATGATAATCCAAAGAGAGCTACTAAAAGATGCTTGAAAAAGATAGAAGTTAAGTTAAATGGAAAAAGAGATCGTTGATAAATAATATATAAGGGATAGTTTACAACCGGGGATGTAGCTCAGATGGTAGAGCGCTCGCTTAGCATGCGAGAGGTACGGGGATCGATACCCCGCATCTCCAGTCGAACTTTTTCCTTATTTCTCTGTGTCGTTCCAATGCAAAAGGCTGATGGGAAAGCGAAATTTTCAGGCAATTGCTCCATTTTATTATACAATATGATTATAAAATTTTACTGAAAAAGAGCGCGAGTTCATTTGGTTTCTACATCTACTGTATAAGGAATAATATACATAACATTAGTTCCAACTTCGAAGTAAAGATTGCGAAATCGATTAAACCATAGCTAACAACAAGCTATTCAATTTAAAAGTCTCTTTCTCGAGATAGCTTTGTAGAAAATTAGTAGAAAGTTAGAACAATTCTTTTCTTCTTTTATGATTTAATGTTTTGTACAATGTGTATGTTTATACAAGTATTTGAAAGACAAGAAAGGACAACTACAACTATATTTAATTAGAAGTCCCTAATTCCTATATGTTTGTTCATAATCACATGTATTTGCTCATAACTCTAGTTGTAACTTGAATTTGGATAAGAAAGATCTGGAAGGTCTAAGTGTCTTTCAACTGTATCCAATATGCTACATTAAAGTGGACCAGATTTGGGTTGCAGTAATAGGCCCAGTTCTTTATTTGTATTGGGCTGCTGATTTATGTTTTGTGTATTTGGCCCAAATGTATGTTGTGTCTGATAGGCCCATGTATGATAGGGTATGGTCTTTTATTTTCTAGATCATTCGACAGACCACTTGGCTCTTTCTCTTTCTTCGTCTTCGACTGTATCGCCTCCTTCTTCCCCACTTTAGAGTTTAGGTTGTGTGAAGAAGATTTCGGTCCAACACTCCCCCTCCCCCCCCCCCCCCCCCC